GAAAAAAAAAACGTAAAATACACTGAAACTACGTCACACACTGAAAGTGCGCAGATGCGGCGGCACAACATTCTGTATTTGGCGAGAATGAGATCTGCTAAAATTTTGAAAATCTAGACCCTCTTAATCGCTATTTCCTGCATTTTGAGGGGCAAATTTTGCTGACACAAAGTGTTTCAGCTTGATTGGGGGCGACGTCTCCCACATTTTCCTCGGTATCGCCGACACTAGTGCGTAACACAAAATGATTTATCACATAATGCGATATATTAAAGGAACACACGAAATGCATTTGAGTACTAACACTACTGCTAAATAGGTGATTTTCCGAACAATTGCGAGATCTCGCGAGATGCATGAAAGACGCGCGTCGAACGTCTGCCGCAAAAATCGAACGATTTGATTTTGAACTAGAATTTCTTTATTTCGCAGCTTACATTGACCGGCTGATCTTCGACAGAGGAATATTGCTTCCGAATACCCTTATTTAATCGAAATTGCCTATCATCAAATGTGGACAGCACATTATTAAGCATCGAAATGTCCCCGAAATACTTTCGCGTTTGTCGAATCCCACGCGATGTTTGACGCGACTACGACGCTATGACCTTTATTTGTCCTGTTTTTACGTTCGATTTCACACATAACGCGTGATTCTCGCAGTGAACGGAAAATGGTCTATTCACTTGACAGCATTGCGTTACCCCTTAATCCTTTTTTTCATTAATCATGATGCAATCAATTTCGTGTAAATTGCGTCTATGATGACTCACTCAGTTGAGATTTAAGAGCTCCGCGAGGCGCTCAGGCTAATTTCTATGTTATTGCACTTCTATTGTCATAGGCGGTGACCTATACCTCCCCTCCCCCAATATAATTACAAGTGGTTGCGGTGGTTATCTATATCGGCAAAGTCATCTCTAAGAACCGGTATTTTAAGATTTCACGATTTGTATAACGAAATGACCGCCAGACAGCCATATTCGATCAGATGACAATTTAAAATAAAATAAGCTGGACGTATATTTTGACGAAGGAGGCAATGATAAAGGCTAGTTTAACAAAAACATATCGATAATATTCGTCAACAAATAGAAAAATGTACATACTGAACCAAAATGAACATATTTGAATAAGATCGTCACAAATTTATGCGAGGTTATATCTCATCTAATACTGACATTTTTAAACGCAAGTCTTTTTAAAAACAATTGTATATGATAAACGTAAATATTATATTGAACCACCAAACAAATAAAATTATAAATTGTATTTTATAGACACAGTTCTGCTATCTTCTTATCAATTTCTGCTCTTTCAATTCCAACAACCTGTGCCGTGCACACAGCTATTTTCACCAGGGGCGCCGATTTGTAAAAAGTTCATTACTTGGGGGGTTGCAATGTACCTCTGTATAATCTTATTTTTCACAAATGTTTTGTCTTACAATATTTAGGATGAAAATTCTATCTATAGCTATAAATATGGCTGAATATCATGAGACGTCCATATTCAAATTACAACTGGTTCCCCTATATGCTGCAGTTGAAACTCTATGGACAAAATGTCTCAATAATCTAGCGCCACTGACGACTACTTTGACAAATTTGCATTATTTGCATATCCAATATGGCGACTACCAATGACAATATTGGTCGGTTGTTTTGCTTTTTATGAAAAACTAAAACAAGGCGCAATCATTTATGTGGATTTTTGTCACGTTTGTCGTTCATTTATGAATACTAAGAGAGTTCAAAAAAGTGAGTATTTGGATGAAATTTCTCATAATATTGGGTTTGTTCTAACCTGTTTTTTTTGCCAGCTGTTAAGCGCCGATGAAAATATCGTAAGCCCTTTATATATTATTATTATTGAATGGTCTGCCGATGAACGTATTGTATGTCGATGTTTGCGACCCTGAATCGAAAATACTTACATACATGCATTGTTATCAAATTCTATAGCTTAAAAAGAAATAGATTTGTATTTACAATGTACCAAAGTTGCATTGAAACGTCGCCTATCGATTTCGGGGCGGGTCTTGGTCATGAAAACAAGTTCGATATAGTCGGGCCAAGTGTCAACGAAGTCGACTGTGTGTTTTATCTAACTGCTTTTTAATAACAAAATCTTGAATAACGTAGCAGTTCACCGGTGTTGGTCGATGACCCTGTAAAGTTAAAATATGTCCACCTCTCAAAACTCTGACCATTCTTCCTGCACACTATACACTGTACACAGGGCGTACGCTCCAGTATTCTGAGGTATGTCTCTGACTGATCAGATTCAGACATACAACATACTAGCTGTGTATACAGGTCTATGAGTATGGACATGCTCGTTCTCATTGGGACCTTGTTTTTTGTCAAGTCCGAATACCACCTCTAAAACAGCAGGGCTTACATCATACATAATGTCACTCGTATGCACGACCTGTGGTTTGTAGTCCCATGCCCAGCCATATTTCTACTCACTTATCGATCGTTTGTGAGCTTGGGGATATGAGGTCCACAAATTCAAATCCAAAATGACAGTTTATTTCCCGTGAATTACATAGTTGTTATATCTAAGGGTCATTGTAAGTGATTTTTAAAATATTATGAATGTAATTTGGGAATACTGATTGTGAACAGATAAATTTCTCTGTCAAGAATCTACTAAAAGCTAAAATTTGTTAAGCAGGCATTAGTGATTAGGGGATATCAATGGCAGCTCTTACGTTGTTTTGATGCAACAATTCAAATAGAATTGCATCAAATTGTGTATTCCATTTTTCTGAAAATCTTGCAATCATGAATTTCCACAAATCCATGTCAAAAATTTCTTGTGTTATTGTTATCTAGCATCATTCCAATGTGATTAAAATTGTATGGTAATAGACACCAATTTTTAATTAATTTATATTTTTTTTTCATTTATGAGTACTTATTTAGGTTTCACTTGTTGTGATTAGGTTTTTTTATATACAGTATCGCTATACCTATACCTACATCGGATTTTAACCAGATTGGCATCATCCACGTCAGCATGATCTATTTATCCACAGTCAGATTAAACAGGAAGTCTCCACATTTTGTGTATGTAAGCCCCCGTAGCTCAAGATTGCAATCCAACAAAAAAAAAAGCATTAAAAGTAACGTCACAAGAATAAGATAAAACGTTGGGTAACCTCGGTCTCAGTCTTGAACTATGGAACTGTAGCTAACGTATGCATGTGCATTTATTTGAAAATGAAATTCAAGATGGACAATTGGCAGCCATAGTAATGTTCAAATGCTTTAAAATAAAGCACTTTTACCATTCTGGAAATGCAAAGTACTATGATGTGTGACCTTTTGAGGTCATGCAAAGTACCAGGATGTGTGACCTTTTGACCGTTTAAGGCTAATATTGAAAATTAAATTTACAAATTCAAGATCATATCTAAATGTAGCAAATTCTAGATCACATATGATTTCAATCAACTCACATAGTGCTATCCACCATGACTTAGCTCTCAGTCAATACTCGTATGGGCTATTTTTAGCAGTATTGGTGATTGAAACGTCTGAAAGCGATAAGCTGGGTAACAAACATGAATCACAGATTTTTTTTGTACATATTGTAACTCTTTTATCATATATATTTGTCTCAACTTGGTTACTGTTTGAGGCAATGAAATCGTTTTTTGTGTAAATAATTCACTAGAAGCATACTGTAAATAAATGACACATGATTCTTGGTCATAAATTCATTGCACACTTTGTACTTGATGAAAACAGGTGTTTTAAATTACATTTATATTAAACAAGCAATGAAAGCATTTTGTTTCTGATAGTTTCTAAATTTTAGTAAACCTAATATTCTCATGTTTTAAAGCGAGAGAGTCGTCACCTGCACACGCACGGAAATTGAGTCCCAAGCAATGATAACAGCACACGCTAAGGTTCATGGGTAGATGCTTGTTTGTAAACAATGATATGCTATGGCCACCTGACGCATGCGTAGGTGACGACTCCCCCCGCTTTAACTTTCATTATTTGCATATATTGGTGGTTTAGTTTTCAGCAATCAATCAGTGAATTCCATAATTTTTCTCTGTCCAATTTACAAATTTGAATGTATTTTTAGTGGAGGGGGGTAGACTTAAATTTTGGTACGACCCTTCCTCCCTCACCCACAAAAAAAAAAAAACAGTTTTCACCCCTTCCTTTGGTGTCCCCAATATTAACATGGTTATAATTTCTCATTGGATACAGGGATTGAACAGAATTTCTGGATACATTTATTTCGCGAAATGTGACAAAAATTTACTATAGAGTTGAAATTAAAAGAAAAATTCTATCCAACATACACATGGAAATAAACAGGTGGCATTTACTACCTAGTATACAA